GAAATTTGTAGAATATAGATGGAATAAAGACGATACAATGAAAAAACTTTACAAGAAAAGAAAGACAGAAATGAAAAAATAATTTATCTTATTATTTAATATGAAAAGGAGTTATACAGATTATATTAATATAATAGATGAAATGGAGAATATAGAACAAGTACTAATAACTGATAATAGATGTAAAAAAATATGTTATTTTATTTTAGAATTGATTAAGTTTTTGATACAATATATTAAAAATATAAATATTAATATAAATGCCAAAAGAAAAACAAAAAGAATAAGATAGGTTTAAGTGTTTCTTCAACAGATGAAGATAGCGGAGAAATTGTTAAAGAAACAGCAGTAATTGAGTTTTCTTGTCCGATGTGTAAAAGGATGTTAGAAATGAAAAATGAATTAGAAATAAAAAATAATAAAAATTGTAAATGTTCATGTATTCCAACAAGTTTCAAAATAAGTAAAAATGAGAAGAAAATGAGTATTGATAAAACTAAAGACAGTATCAACTTAGAAACTGATGTCCACAATATAACTTTTAAATTTGGTAGGCAAGCAACACCATCCGATAATAATGAAAACGAAACACAGGAAACTGTTAAACAAATGATGAAAAATATATAATTAAATAAATAAATATCTAAATAAATATATAGTAATGTCTGAAAATGAGAATTATACTATTAATGATTTAATGAAGAAGATAACATTAATTGGTAAAAATATCAAAAACTTAAATGATATGATTAAATCCATTGATGACAAAATAAAACCAGTTGAACGCGAACAACAAAGCAACGAAGAGAAGGAGAAAATCGAAAAGATATTTCAAGCAAAGTCTATAGGAAGACCATCGGGCGACTACCCTACAAAGCAAAAGAAATACTGTGATATGTTGAATACAGGAAAAATCAAACAACCAAAGCAACAAACATTAGAGTTTTATAAAATTACAAAACATGATGATGGAGTATATGTTTTATTTGAATAATTAATATCTAAATAATTCTAATAATATGATTACTTTTAGAATTATTTAGCAACAAGACCTATATAAAATACCTCGTGGTTTGATATTGGACACTTTGATGAGTTTGACGGATTAAGGATTTTGAGTTTGATACTGGTAGTATCATTTGAACGATACTGGTAGTATCATTTGAACGATACTGGTAGTATCATTTGAACGATACTGGTAGTATCATTTGAACGATACTGGTAGTATCATTTGAACGATACTGGTAGTATCATTTGAACGATACTGGTAGTATCATTTGAACGATACTGGTAGCAGTATATAGCTTTGCCATACTATGATTATAACATTTATACCCTTATATGTTATAATTATAATGTAAGTATAGCGTTTTATATATTGAAGATAAAATCCTACAAGGGACACCGCGCCTACATTTTTTCATCATTGTAGGCTTGGATTTACACTTAAAGAGAGAACACCTATAGATAATAAGGATGGAAATTGAAAGAAGGTATTGTAGCACATGCATGTTCAATCAAAAAGCCGACAAGTTTGAAGAAGGGTTCAAGACTTGCAATATATGTAGAGCAAAAAATAAAAGACACTACCACAACAACCCTGAAAAATACAGAGAATACAGAAGGGAAGATAGAAAGAACAATCCTGAAAAATACCAAGAAAGGCAAAGAGAATACATGAAGGAATACAAAACAAGAATGCATTGCTGTTCGTTATGCGATGTTGAAGTGCAACTAAAAAGCAAAGCAAGACACGAGAAAACAGCATGGCATCAAGGAAACCTGAGAAGAAGCGAGAACCCTGAGGAGAAACTGCCAGAACCTGATGAAATCAAAATCATAGATGGCAAAAAACATTTTAGGTGCTTGACATGTAGAGCCAGTTTTCTACCGTATCAATGGGAGAAACACATAATGGAGAAGCATAGGGAAACTTAGAGTGATTGATACAATAATATGAACACTATTGTATCATTTACTGATTAGGAGTGATGATTTTGGTATTAACCACAATCCTACAAGGGACACCACGCCCCAAACAAATATATGATGAAACTGATGAAACGAAGGAGGGAGTGATGTTGTTGCTGTTCTATTTTTTGTCCGGGAAATGGACAAATCGTTTTTAGACAGTTCGAATATTTTTTTGATGACAAATATTTTTTGCAATATATTTTGCAAAATTTCTTTTTTTGAAATGGATGAGGTGAGGAGATTGAGGAAATGACATTTTGGAGGGTAGTTGGTGAAATGAATGAGGCGAGGAGAAAGGAAAAAAGGATGGCGAAAATTTTGGAAAAATGATGATAAAAAAACGGATGAGATGGACAGAAAGGAATGTAGAAAAATGATGAAAACAAATAAGGGTAGAAGATGGAAGATGAAAAAAAATGTAGGGTGGGGGGTATGTATGAAGCAATTTATTTGCGGGGCAAGGCCCCCGACTACTGGTTTCTGGGCGGGTCCCAGCCGTCCTCTCGGTTTTTTTTGTGGGCTTTTTGTGGGGTTTGGTGGGGGCTTCCTTTCACTCAGTTGCCCAAGGCCGACCTTTTGACCTTTTGGCCCCAAAAGGTTCACCTTTTATTCCTGGATCATTTGGGCAAGTGAGTTTAAGCTACTTCAAGGTGAAGTTTCAGCAGGGGATCTGAGGACAGGCCGGTTTCCAAGTTCCGCAATTTAGTCCTGAGCATAGTGGCGGAAGTGACACATGACACTTACGGCAGGGTGCAGTTCGTGCGGCTGAATGGCGGGGCCAAATTGGGCACAATTCGCCAGGCTTGCTGCCTGCACAACGGGACCCGCCAAAACCAGTTTCCTTTTGGGTTTCCCTCGGCAAACCAAACATGGTTTCCTCAAAACAGGACAGACCCAATTTTAGGGACCACCTTTGCCATTTGCACTCATGCAAGTTCTTTGTCATTTTGAGAGCGGGCAACCAGAACTCACAGGCTTACCCTAGTCTCCTTCCAACATGTTCGGCATCCTTTTCGCCTTCGAGCTAACAAATGATGGCCTGCTTCTTATTTGACAAAAGCCCCCAGCCCGGTGAATTACTCCCCTGAAGCTCGGATGCCACTTCTAGAATGCGTTCTATCCCCAACCCACTCCCCCCAAAAGAAAACTGACGGTATAATTATACCCGATATATTTTGTGGCTATCGGTTGTGCCACCTATTCAATCCCTGGTTGTGATGGTAGCGCGAGCCATCCTACACGATCGAATTATTCAGGGTGCTGAACAGCAGCTCCCAAAGAGCCTTGGTCAGAAGACTTTGGATGCGATCTGTCTGGCTGTCTGTCTGTCTGTCTGTCCGTCTGTGCATCTGTTTGTCTGTCTGTGTTTGTTTCCTTGTGTTTTTGTATGTGTTCGTTTGTTTGCTTGTTTGTTTGTATGTGTTTGCTTGTGTTTGTTTGTATGTGTTTCTTGCGTGCCAGATGCAGGGAATGAGTTGGAATGACCCCTGTCCGTCCAACTGGTTCCCTTTCAGTGGATCCCCGAAACCGGTTCATTCCCAAACTGTCGACGCCTGCTGAGAACCAGCAAGTTGTGTGGGCCAATCTTGTTGGGGTTACGCTTTTACAGGAAACATCAGGAAACCCAAAAAAACGTCACCGATTTGAGTCTCTCCTATTTTGAGACAAACCCAGAACACCTCGAGACTCGTAAGTTCCGTATAGCTCCGTTGCGTTCACGGCAGCGCACAGCTTTTGCAATGAGCTGGTTTTCTGAGTTGACTTCTTTGTGTAAATCCACAAGTTACCCCAAGCCACTCTCAAGCTTTGACCCTTTCAGGGCCTTTTTTGGGGGGGGAACACCTAGATGAAGGTTGAAACCAAGGTCGACTGAACATGTGTGTCTCCGAACGAGGGAGCCCGGAAATGGGTTGTGTTCCCTTTGGTTTCTCTTCAGCGCCATCCAGCAAAGGGTGCCATCCAAAAAAGACAAGTTTACAAGTATACACCACATATATACTTATATACTGATATATATATATATATATACATGTTTGCATATGTATGCTGTGTTCATGCTTAAGCCGATAAACGTAAAATCGCAAGGCTAAGTTTTTGACCTCGCAGGGAGTGGACACAGCTTGATGGATGCGGAGGCGCAGGACAAGAAAGCTGAGGAGGCCTCGGGGGGGGGGGGGGGGGGCAGAACCAGAAAGTTACCTCAGAGTTTCCCGGGCCAAATGGCATTTGCTGGTGCCATATATAGGTAGGGAATGACCTTCTGGGTGTTGGGAATGATACCCTTAAAGGGAACCATAGGAGATGATTCAAAGGGGGTTATTCCCTCATTGTGTAGGACACCTTAGGATGAATGACTAGATTCTCATGAAGTAGTTGATCGCCCCTGCCCAGCAAGCCAAGATGCTCTCTGACCAAGAAAGGGACCGAGTGAGAGCTCATCAGAATGTCAGTGGACAATCACGGAACCTTGGTTCCCTCATAGGGGTTGGGGGGGAGGGACGGGGAGGGAGCCCAAATAATCCCGTGTGAAGCCCTTGATACGGCCTCAATAAGGCCTTATTTAGGGCTTACTTGGGCTCCCTCCCAGAGATTCCGATCTCCGGATGTTGGGTTGGCTTCTGCCCCTTAAGATCAAAGGGTCACCAGGCTTCTTGCGAGCACGTCCTGAAATCCATGAAAGGGTTGGTCGCCACCTCGAAGGGGTGGGAGGAGAGGCGTCAGAAGGAGCGCGGGTGTCAGCATTTTAGACCGACCCTGCAAAACGTGGCGCCCTTGCATTGGATGAAGAGGCTATGGCGACCCTGCACTTCACTCGCCGCTGGTTGTTTTTGCGCACGCACTCTTCATCCAAAGCCGATCAATCAATTCGTGGGGGGCGTGCAATCCAAGGGTCCTGAAAGTGCTTTGATTTGGCGGGACGTTAAGACAATTGCAACCCGAGCCCAGGTTTCTTCCCGACTTGTTGTTTCCTCCTTCCCTAGTCCCTAGGTGATCGTCGTAGAGGGCGTCTTCAGCTGGTTCGCAGCATGGTCGATGATGCTGTGGCTGGTGGTTTGCATTTGTGGCCTGGAAGCAGCCAAGCTTTTAAAGAAGGCGTTTGGTCAGGGGAGGCCTCTACAAAACTCTTTGTGGGAGATTTAGAAGGCAAGTTTTGCTTGTTGTCTAGTCACCTGGCCTGGAATCATTTGGGAACCTTTGCCTGCAATGGGATCTTTCAAAGCGAGATTCATCGAAAAAGTGTTGGCTTTCTTGGTTCCATCTTAGCCTGCAGGTTGGAGGGCAAGTCCATTTCCCATACCGTTTAGTGGTTGCATTTTGCTTGGCTGTTAGGACTTTAACTTTTTGCCAACTCATGGGTTTTCCGTATTAAACCACTAAAAGTTATTCACTTTTAGCAGGGGAGCAGAAAGCAACCGAGTCAGGAGTGGTTGCTCTTTGTTTTTGAGTCAGCGAGCGCCACGGGCTACGCACGAAGCGAATCGAAGCGACTTCCGAGGCTCCCTGACGATGGCAGTTCTCACCTTCCAGGGGGAGGGCATTGAGCGAATCTCCGAGGCGCCGAAGCTGATGATTCTAGCGGTTGATTCCTTTCAAACAAACAAACAAACAAACAAATAAACAAACCTTTTTCTAGGCGTTGAGTCCTTGTCCGTTCTTTTCAACCATCGTTCTTTTCTCAAAAACCGGATCTGTTTCCAACCTTTTTTTTATGGTCTCCTGCAAAGATTCGGATCCCTGGAAAGAATGGGGAAGGTACCCCTGGAATGATACTGTGGATGGACGAAAACCGTTTCGCACCACTCTGAAATGGAAGCCATTGTTTGGTGGCAGGGGCAGGGGAATCATCCGACACCAGGGTTTCCTAGGTGGTGCAGGATTTCGTCCTATTTTGGTAGGGGAACCCTCCTCCAAAAAAGGGTAAAAGGGCACTACTGGGGGACCTAGTTGGTATTGCTTTGGTGCTGACTTTGATGACGGTGCCGCGTGTTTGCTTGTGCTTCCTGCTGATATTTCCCACAACCGGGCAAACCAAAATTCGCTTGCGAGGGCTCATGAATCTCTACGAACAACTGTTGCCGGTCATTGACTCATCAGTTGACATTGGACCCTCAAGATTCCATTTATTGCTGGGCTGGTTTCCGAAGGGCCAAGCACTCGCTCGAAGCATCTCAGAAGTTTCTTGGCCCTTCAGGGCCCAAGGCTCGTGACCCTCCCAGAAACCTACATGAACTACAGACAGTTCACCAAACACACCAAAACCAAGGGCTGGGCGAGTCCTCCGAGCTTCTATGAGACGCACCTATCTTGCACCCTCCCCCCCAGCCTGCGCCAGACGAACTCGAGGGGTTTAGTTCACAGTTGTGGGACATTGGTTTTGAAGCTTCCTTTCTGTGAAACGAACGGGGGCCCTCTTCAGAAGTGATGAGGTAGCCTTCCAGGTGGGAATCAACCACTTGAGTATCATTGACAGACAAAAGGCATACCTTCTTGACTTTGTGCCTGTTGGTTTCCATCATTTCCCCTTTTTAACCGAGCAAAGAGCTGGTCGGTTTCTGGCGCGAGGAGATCTCCTTCGTGCGTCAGCAGACCCCGCCTTATGGGCCGCCCGAGCAGCCGGGGATGGCCGGCAGTCGGGAGATCAACGAGCCGTTCCGCCGCTTGGTGGGGTTGCTGGCTGGGCATTGGGGGTAAAGAGGACAGCCTTTTCTCAAGGGGGGGGGGGTAAAAAAAACAAGGATCAAGATTGTGGGCATGGTTTTAACTTCCATTTGCTGACATGAATATGTTTTTTTTGTGTTCCCTTGTTGGCTTTTAGGGGGATCGATTTCACTACTGCACACACACACATACATATATATATATATATATGTTCTCTTTTTTTCCAGGAGACTTCAGCAAATGGAAATTAGGGAGTCGGTTACGGAGTGAGGTGGGGTATCATGGATATCCAAGATCCTTCAAAAGGGATCTTCCTGCTGCCAGCAGGCTTGAAAATTTACAATGTGGTGGCTCCCAGCAGCCGGGAACCACTTAACTCAAGTGTGAAACAGGAACCGCCGCCGAATTCCACGAAAGGGTCCCGCATTGAACATCACACTATGTGTTCTAGGCTTCCATTTGCTTAAGAATAGTTTTTTTTTTTGATTTTTTTCTTTCTACGGTTGGTGTTAAATGGAATCTATGATTATTTGAAACATGTTTTGTTTTTCCCATGGGCTTAAGCAAATGGAGGTAGGATGCTAGACAGGTGCATGAGTGAGGTGCGTCAAAAGCCGTCATGAGGGGAGTCTATTACAACGACCTGTTTTGTTCTTGTAGGGTAGGCTAGTGAAGCAGAATCTGAAGAAATCTGGTTTTGGTGTACCCCATTGGTTGAGATTGTGCCAACCAGAGTTGATTCCTGGAATTCGGACTTCGCATTCCAGACAGCCAGCCAAAAACCAGGAAACTTATTGGAAACAAACATGGCTGAATTGAGTTATGGCACTTATGGGCTAGTTGGCTTTTTGGATTGGCGCTTGGGGCTAAACTGCGTGCTGTTGCAATTTCAGTTTTAGCAGAGTATGTTTGAGGTCTCAGACTAAGAATGGGAATCGACCCCTGTAGTTGACACAAGGATGACAGCTCTACAGTTGATCCCTGTATTGATCCGGGCCTGTCACCACTGCACCTACGCAAGCCTGCGATCCTTTGTTCTCAAAAGAGGGAACCCCACCACCTCACCTGCCTTTCCCTTTCCTTAACCCAAAATGGGTGTGCTCCAAAACCAGTCACACACCTTCGACCGCCCACCTCACCTGGGTGGCTGTCCATTTTGGGTTTTCCCTAGCCCAGAAATGGGGTACACTCCCCCAGACGAATGGAAGCTCCCAAGACCCCTTTGGAAGACTTGGTTTTATTTGCAGAGGCCTTGTGGAAGCTTCCATGTTTGCCTGAGGGAGTGTATTCTTCAAAACCCACGCCCCACACGCGGCTTCGCCCGCCTTTGAGGCTACAAAAAATTGATATCCTCCGGGCGAAAATTTCAATTTTCGCCCGCCCTTGGATTGAGGCTACCACCTGCCCCAAGTGGCGCTCTTTTATTCCATGGCCTCAGCAGCGCTGGGGCTCTTTACGGCGCCTTTGGCGCTTTTTTTTGGTTGTTCTTGGGGGGGTGGGCCGAAAGTGCCAAGAAAACCGCGGGGTGTTCTGTTGGGTTTGAGGTGTGGGCGCCTTGTCCCCATTTTTGTTGGTTCAGCTTCTGAGTTTGCAATGGGGAGTTTTGGGGAAAGCCAAAACAAGCCAACAGCATGGGCACATTGCCTCAGCATTTGCTTCAGCCTGTGGATTTGCTGTTGTCTAAGGTCCTGTGTGTACACCCCGGCTAGATATAGGTTGCTGGGGTATGTCTACCGGATGGCCCAAGTAAAGCCCAGAATATCCCCCCACCACTGATGTTGCGCTATGTTCCTTTGGCGTTACAAGTGGGACGTTTGTCCAAATCCAGAAAGCCCTGACCGGATGAAGCGGACCATTGTGATGTAAAAGGTGCAATCCAATCCCCTCAGAGTTCGAGCTTCATTTTTCCTCGCCGTCGCCAAGGACCCCCTCGCTTTTGACCCCTTTAATTGCATTTTACGCTGGGAAACCGGCACGCTTTCGATTGCGGTAAGAGTCGGGGTCAGCTAAGGGGGCGCTGAGTATTATTCCCTGATCGCAATGAGGGTCGAAGTAGCTCGGTCCGAAGGCCCCTTCTGCGGAGCCCGAGGATCGTCTAATTTGTTGGTGAAGTGTGTCTTGGCGTCAATGAGCCCCCTATTTGCAACCCCTAAATCAATAGATATTTGTGCTGTTAATAGGTCCCAAGGAGGTTTCCGCGACAGTCCTCATCCAAATGGGGCCCGCGTTTGCCTGGCACAAAAACCGTCACAGTTGTAATCTGCTGAGTATGGAGTTTAGCTAAAATTGCTCAAGGCACGTGTTCAGGTTTGTCAATTCAAGTTTAACAGACACACATTAAAAATACAGTTTACAACTTGAGCGTACAATCAACATAGGGGAAGCCAATAAGGGTTGTCCGAGTAGTGTTTTAGCATTGGGCGAATCAAAACAAAAGGGAACACACATATATATATATATATATGTATATATATATATACATATATGTACATGGTTGTCTGACAAAACTCTTTCCAGTCCTTCCAACTAGCGCTATGGTAAGTAACCAGTGGAAACCATCAGAGGTAAGGACATGTAAGCTTACCTATAGTGGCTTGCCTGGAAGCACTGGGGTTGATTAATACCGTAGATGGACAGAATCAGGCACCAGGGTGTGGGTGTTTCTATTCTGTAAAGGGTGTCCTCCATCCCAAGTGCGCTGGGCATGGAGACTGTCCATTCACAGTATCACCTTGTTACACCTTCCATTCATGGATCCCTTGGTGGGTTCTGGAGTGGTACTATGCACTGAACCAAACACATGCATTCCCAGAACAGCCATTGCTGTGGATGACTTCATCGGGACTGGGCGGACTGCTGATTGCAGTTCTGGGAGTGCAGTTTTTGGTTCAGTACACCCGCAAACCCCACCACGGGTTCCCTGAACGGAAGCTGCAACAGGGGGAGGTGGAGACCCAACGGCAGGTCAGCTTCTTCGCCAACTCCATGCTGCTGGAGACCCAGGGCACACCCCGCGCCGTGCCTTGGTTGCCTCGGCTGCTTCGGCGCCAAGAGTGGAATTTTCCGCTCGGCCCACAGAGGGAAATCCCATACGATCCGAAATACGCATATGTGTATGCAGAGATATCTACATATAACCTAGTATGTATTTTTAGATCGGTCTCATTATGTTGTTTAATTGTATATTGTATACGCTGTATATTTGGTGAACATCATTTAGGTGAGATTTCCGAGCTCCCCTAATCTTGCGAGCCAGTGGAAAGCTTCGACCAGTGGAAAGCTTTTTCTGAAGCATTTGGTGTTGAAAGTCGTCAGGCGCGCGGGTGACCACATGCGGTCGAGTACAGCACGCATGAGTGTGTGGGTGTAATATCATAGCTCGAACTTCAAGTCCTACTTTCTGCTTTGGTAGCAGTGTGTGTTCTTCAGTGTCGAACAAAAGAGGTGGACATCAATATGCTGATCGCAGAGGGGGTGCAGATCTACATGTCCCGCACCTTTCCCGTGATTGTCCTGATCCTTGTGTCTGCTGCTTGGACGCCAGGGCTTGCTGAAAGACCTCACGGTTGAGTGAGGCCCATGCGAGGCAAGCACACCAAGGCAGCACCACCGAACGCAATCAAAGACCACAACGAAAAACGCAGCGGAACAGAAGACAAAGCAGAACAACGCGTCACACACATACACGCCCAACCTCCAGGCGTTGCCAGCCTGAACGCCCAACCTCTAGCAAGGTTCTACTTCGGGAGTCCAGGGTACGTAGACAAAATAATTTCCTTGTGTCTATGGGGGTGCTTAGGGACGTACGGTGCATACCCAAGACAATGTCCTCATGTATGGCTTCTGGAGGTATATTGATATCGACTAAAGTCTTAAGCGCTGTTATGAAACTGTTGTGCGGTACCGCGCTGTTTGATGTGGCTGATATGCATTGTGTTGCGTGGAATGCTGTCTTGTGCTGCTTTGCGTTGTGTGGTTTGCAGCGATAAACGTGGAGAGAAGCCAAGCAAGAATTGATTCCCAGTGCTTCTTCCCGGTTCCCTGCGAGAGGAACAATCGAAGGCTCCCCCCCACAATGCCGGGAAGTGTTTGAAAGAGCGGACAGCAATTCAATAGATCAGACCAAATCTCACGGCTAGGAAGCTGGTCACCTGGAGTTCATAGGGTTGTTTTGCAATCCTTCCTGAATCCTTGGGGGAAGGGAGTCTTCATGTTTTTCCCAGAAAGGCTTCATGGTGATTGTACCAAGCTTGTTTTCGTTAAATCAATTTAGGGTCACCCATGTTTGGAGCAGGGCCTGTGGCGTCTCCGCGATGTTTCATCCTAGGTGACCCAAGTTTGGAGCAGGGGGGGTTGGGGTGGCCTGAGTTGTGGTGCTTTCATCCGCGACTTCTCAGGCCGGGGGCTACGTCTACGTCACCGCGGGCTGGGGCACGTTGACCTGCTTCTGCGCGGGGGCGCTGCTGAACCTCGTCTCCGCCTACGTGGGGGTCCGCACGGCCGTCCAGGGCACCTGCAGGAGGGGGACGGCGACGCGGTGAGTCGAAGGAAAAAGCGCGCATGGAAATTAGGTCCCCCAGTGCTGCCCTGTTACTTTTTGGTGGTTGTCGTTAGGAAACATTTTACATTTTTGCTTATTGTGGTTTAGTGGGAAATCCCCTCTTAACTGCTAAAATTTAATTTGTTTGCTCCCCTTCCAACGTCAATCAAGTTTTGGTGGGAGGGTTCCTACTAAAATAGACCACAGAAAAAAGAAACGGTACCCTTATTCGAACCTCTCAACTCTGGAGGACCTAGGAAGGTAGCCGCCCTGCGGTGTTTGGGGGGCGAAGGCAGGAAGGAAGCCGCCAGATTTGGGGGGGGGGGGTCGTGATTTCATGGCCATCTCCCTATATTTTAATATAAGGAATACGTGTTTAAGACTGGTGGGTGGTACATGTTTTCATGTGAATCGAGAAAGGTCCCCAATTGGATTTTCATGCCCTTCGGGGGCTAACCAGGGATTCCCTTGAACATGGTGCCCCTTGAGGCGCCAGAACTCAGAACCCTCTGGGAGGGTGAGGGGCGCTCATGTGCATCCACTTGGAACCCATGTTGAGACACAACGGAAAACCGGAAAACCCCGAGCGTTTTGCCGGTCGGTGCGGTCGGTCGAACAACCCCCTCCAGGTTGGCCACGGTGATGGGGGAGAACTTGTCCAGGTCCGTGCAGATGGGCATGTACACGGGCTCCATCGGGGGCTTGTTGTCCACCTCCCTGGCCTTGGGCGGCCTCTCGGCTCGGGATTCGGAGCCGGCTCCTTTGGGCCCCGAGGCTACCCCTTCTTTGCTGGTTTTTTAACGGGAAAACCGCAGGGAAAGCTAAAACCACTGGTTTTTAATGGGAAAACCGCAGGGAAGACTAAAACCACCGATTTGGGGGTCTTCCCTGGAAAAGGCACACCTATACGAGAGACCTGCGACTTCCGACAACACATATGGGATCCGAAGCGACAAGACCAGTTACAAACGAGCAAACGAGCAATGGAGGCTTCCAATCGCCAGCCAGTTCAGAATACGGTTTAGTTTATTTATCATGTCCCTCTGATGGTGTTAAAGGGAGCCTATCTTGTCACTATTGGACTTGTATTTTTTGAGTTTCCAGCAGGTTTAAGCAAATTCTTAATTTATTTGTTCTCTTCCATGTTCGGTTGACCAGTGTCTATTTACGTAAGACAACCTTGACACAACAACTCAACAAACACGGCGGCGACGGCATTTTTTCTTTTGTACACCTGAGTGCAAGTGTGTAACGCTCGCTAGATTGTTGCTGTCAGGCCACCATACCAGAGGACGAGAATTGCAGGTTGAGCCATGCCACTATCTTTCAGCGCTCTGGCAGGCCCACAGTCCCCCGATGGCCACAATGAATATTGCCCTTGCAGCCCAGGGGGGGCAATGTCCGGTCCGCGTGTTTTCTTGTTGGGGGCTTTCCCTTTTGCAGTTCGGCGGCCTAACATGTGGTTCTCCTTCCTGTCCAAGAAGGCTAACATGTGGGCTCCCCCAAGCAGCTTTTGACATGGCTGAACGCAAACCTGCCCCAGCTGCTTGCATCAAGGTAACTGTGACATTTGACACTAAGACTGGTGACTGGTGTGATCTTGTGAAAGTGATGCCAGCCGGCTCCAGCAAAAGCATGTTCATTCCGGTCAGTGTCGAATTTATGTTGGCATGAGGTGGGTACCGCCTCTCTGCAGCTACCTGCATGCTTAGTCTGCGATTCCAACTTCATGATTGTGTGTGTGGTGTGTTTGTGCGTTCTCAGGCTTCCGCCAACAGCTGTAGTGCCAAGCATGCCATCATGCAACCTTGCGGTCTTTTTTGGACCAAGCAAAAGGACATACCCTCCCATCAGCCAAGATGGAAGTGCACCAAGCAGCTTTCCAAGAGTAAAGTCGTCTTTCTACAGAAACCTCTGCACTTCTTCCATCTCTATCGCTGGAGAAAAAAAAAGCAGTCCGGAAAGAGATCCGTGTCTTTACGGCCCACGGCCGCGTCAACCGCCGGCGGTTTTTTTCTCTTTCCGTCGCGGACGCCCCGGTCTCTGGGTCTGTGGCGTCGAGTCGGCCTGGGCGCGACTCGGATCGCTCTAGGGGTTGATTCCCCATTCTTTTCAGCCATCGTTCTTTTCAAACACCAGATCCATTTCTTGAGGGTTTTGGCTGGTTTTCTAGGAAGATCCGGATCCTGGAAAGAATGGAAATGGAAGTTAGCCCTAGAAGTGCATGTACTCTCCAGATTGACATGGAGCCCAAGCAAAATTCTTGTGTAGAGGAATCTCGGCATCTCCTTTTGGGGCGCCGACTGTGGAGCGAAGGCATGGCGGGGATGTGGTTCTGGGCGCTGGACTCCTCGCTGCTCTCGGGCTTCGGCTCGGGGGCCTGACGCTCGGCGGAGGCTTCCGAATCGGGGCGAAGCGATTGGTGGCGCGTCCGATGGGATGTTGATCAAAGACCCGTTGGTTGGCGGTGTCCTGTTTTTTTCTCCTGTTGTTTTCTCTTTCTTTTTTTTTCTTCTTGTTTTCTTGTTTGTTTTTTTTTCTCTGAAACCCTCTAAAACCAACGCGCACAAGTAAGTGCACCTCACCTACGACTCCCGCAGAAACCGCCCCTCGCTAAGAACACCCAGGTCCCTTTCTCTTGCGGAGCCTCCCCTGCCAACTTGTTGGAAGCCAAATGCAGGAGCAACACCTGTTACTACCCTTTTGAAAAGCTTTTCTTTGACACCAAGCCATCCATGTGAGGAAGTGTTCCTTAGCTCCCCCTCCCCTTTAGGCACCCCTTATCTGATACCCTTCTTTCGTTTCAGATCAAACCTTTGATGAGAGTTTTCTGCAACTCATTTTGTCTGGGAAGCCATCCATGTTGAGAGTTGTCCACACAACCAAACCATGCATGTTGAGAGATTTCCTCGCATATGTTGAGCTTTCCTCACACAAATCCAGCTCCCAAAGGCCTTTTTTTTCACCCAGGCATCGTGTCCTTCTATCTGCGCGTGGGGGGCGGCATCTTTTCCAAGGGCGCTGACCTGGGTGCCTCTCTCAGCGAGACGCCTGGGGGTGTCGTTGGCTGTTTTTTGGGTGGCCCGCCGCAAAAACACTTTTTTCTTATTTGGTGTGTGTGTGTGGTCCCCCTTCAAACAAAAAGGTGGTTTTTTTTTTTCTGTTTGGTCCCCCGGGAAAAAACACACACACACACACACAATGATGCCGTAATTTTCCATAAGAACACGGCGAGCCGGCTTCACCTTTGACCTTGTGGTGTTCCATTTCTTGCACTGGTTTTTAAAGGTTGACAGTTGGGTCCAAACTGGGCACGCCAGACCGCTGAACAAAATCCTGGAGTTGGAATGGATCAAGCCCTATAAACCTCCCAACTGCTGGAGTTGGTTCGCCCCAATGCCCTTGATTCTGATTTCCTGAAAAGCTGAAGGCCGAGAAGGAAGAAAGTCAATTTGGAGCCATAAATTTGGAGTCCCCTGCATCCTGGGGTTTCTGGGCGAATTCCGTTTTTGTTGCCACCACCCAAAGCGGCGAACGCTTCAAATGGGACAACCCCAAAGCAGTAAGCAAGGCTTCAGAATTTCAATTCCACACGCCCAAAACTTGCGACTGAGTGGCGTTGTTGTTTTTGTTTTTTTCTCTTCTTGTTTTCTCCGCTCAAGCGAACATGTACAGATGTTGTAACATCAAAAGAAGAAGTTGCCCCGCACTGCGGCCGTGGAAGGTTTGTGGAAGGTTTGTTTCCGCGGAAGCGACCTTGTCGATGTGCACATAGTGGTTTGATTCCAATTAGGCGGTTGTTGCCAAGCACCTACCGTGCGCACGAATTCCCTCGCGGAAGCTACCTTACTCAGTTTCCAGAAGCAACTTGCCAGCGGAAGGCCCGCGGAAGCACTTCTACGGAAGGTACCCTTCACACCGTGGAAGGTTTCGCGCAAGGGTTTGATACGTCAAGGCAAATTTAAAGGGAATAACAACCACCACTCAACTGGTCCCGTGAGGCTCCACATCGTGATGTTCAAGAATGAAGCAAAAATGAGTGCTTTGTTTCAGGATACCCTTTTTATGGGCTTTAAAACAGACCCATCGCAAAATAGGCTTTTGTAAATCATTGTTCCGTGGACGCCTTGGTGTCTTTTTGTTTGTTGGAGTCCCTCTAAAAATCGTCAACCCAAACTGATTCCATTTTTCAAGCTTGCACTGGGTTGCAACTTGCATGTTCGGCCAACTGGCAAATTCTTTCCTAAACACAAGGTCAACACCTCTGAACACGGGATTTCGCGGGTAACCTGGGTTGCTACGTAGGCAACAAAGCATGGATAGGTCTAGCCGGCGGGCCTTGAGGCGGTGACCTGGTGGGGGAGATGAACGAGTCGAAGGTGGACGAAGACCGGCGGGTTTTCTCGCTGCAGCAGCGGATGGCGCCTCGGCGAGTCCCGGGCATCTCGAGCTTTCGAGTCTGTGCCCTTTTCGGGTTGATTGACTAGGTCCCCCAGCGATCGGTGCCATTAGGTGCCCTTTTCCCGTTTCTTTTTTGGAGGGAGGGTTCCCCTACTAAAATGGACTACAGAAAGAAGGGTACCCTTATTCTAACCTCTCTACTGGAGAGTGGAAGTCGCCCTTTCCTGGTGGGTTGTTTCGCAGGAAAGTGAAGAAGAACAGTAAAGTGAAGAAGAAGCAAATGGAGGGGTCTCAGTTTGTTTCAATTTCTCCAGGCTCCCCATTTTGCACCCGTAGTTTTTCTACCCAAATGGTTTCTTCCAGGAGCCCGCCATAGGTAGGGGCACCTGGATGTTGCGCCCCGGTTTCGGGCCCTTTCCCAAACGGATTGGATGGGTTTTCTGTGGAATCCCCCTCTTGTTTTATCAGCTGTTCCTTTTTTAATGCTCTTTTAGTACCCTTTTTGCCATCCTACAGGGGTGGATCCACAAAAGCCGCAGCCAAACCGTTTCCTAGATTTCGGCATATGTGTTCTGAGTTCAGTTTTAGCGGTTGGCGGCGGGACTCAGCCTTGCAGAAGGTCAAATGTGGTTTATTGGCGTTCCGGGCGTCACTCGGGTCAGGGAATGCTAGTTTCCGAAAAAGCCGAATATAGTTGAGAAACCACGGCTTTCAGCTTGCCGTCACGCCTCCATTGTCTTGCTGGTGCGACCGGGAATGAGAAATGGAATGACCCCAAGAAGAACCATCCCCTATGGTTTCCTTTATTCGGGGATCTGCAGGTTCATTCCATTTCTCATTCCCTACCTATCGCACCAAGTTGCTTGGGTAGGTGGCATAAAGATGAGGCAGCCAGCAGTGTGAGGTGTAGGCGGATCACACGCCGAGGAGTCGATCGCTAAGAACCGGAAGGAGCGTTTGCGCCAAGGCCAGGTGCATTTTGCCAAGGGATGTTAGGACTGAATCACTTTTTGCCAACTGATGGGTTTTCCGAATTCAACCACTACAAGTTTTTTTTTTTTTAAAGCAAAATACAAAAGGCGGAGCAGAACGCGACCGAGAGTTGTACTCGGGTCGAAAGAGAGAAGTTGTTCGCACCGCTGGAAGAGCCAAAAGCTTGCGCCGTTGTGGAGGGAAAGAAACATGACTAGGTCCCCCAGCTAGGTGCCCTCTGTTTTGGGGAGGGCTCCTCTAGTAAAAAAGACGACAGAAAAAAGGGTACCCTTATTCTAACCTCTCTACTGGAGGACCTAGATGAAGATGCCTATATATAAATACATACATGTATATTTATCAAGGCCAATCAACGTTGAACACATGTTGCAAGTGCTTGGATGGACTAGCTGGTGGTCAGTAAGCGATTGGGTTGTCAAAATTCCTCTTTCAAGAGGGAGCTAAGGAGCTACACTGGGTGTTCTGCAAGGGCACCCGCTGTCAGAGGTGCTGTTGCTAGACGGTCTCGGAGTCTCCATGGAAGTTGATGTAATTTGTTGGAATCGAAGCTGGGTTCCACTACCCCCAAGCCACTACACCCAGGCTAGTTTGGGGTATCGCCTTTATATGGTGGCAATATAGTGGCTGTACATCCCATTAAGCCTCTGGGGGTAGTGGTTTGGGCGTAGTGGACGTCATCTTAGATGGAAGTGGTTTGCCGAGCCGACCCCGCCGAAGCAACATGGGCTCCAACCATGGCCAAGTCAAATGCCAGAAAATCATGCGGCGGATTCGTAGAACATGTTGTCCCAGTTTTGCTGATGGCATTGGTGGTCGCCCAATGATCATGAACTCATTTCTCATGTGCGGTTATTCTCTGAATCATGCACTGGGCATCTCTGTGTGTATGATTCGCCAGTCCTCTGAAAAAAAGGTTTGGATGCGTTTTTTTTGTGGATTTCATTGGTTCTTCCTCCTTTAGGTTCTTTTTTAGTACTCTTTGGGTACTTGTTTGGTATCCTATAGGAGTGGATCCACAAAAGCTGCATCCAAACCGTGTCCTAGAAGTCCAGCGTTGCTTCATGTGTGCCATCCAAACCGGGCTTGCCGGACAACTTCTTGAGCCAGGCCTGGAAGATGACGAAGAGGAGGCCCTGGATCAGCTGAGGACAGGGCTTCCGGTTGCAAACCCCGGCTATGGATGAAAAACAACCTCCTTCAAGGATTCCGCTTGACAGGTTTCTATCCTTTTGATCAGTTTTGGTTCTCCTTGGGGGGCCCTGGTTTGTTGTTCCACAGTTGTGAAGCAACCCCGGAGTGAGGATGCTGGAGGAGGAAATGCACGACATGTGCTCCGCGCCTTGGCCATGGCCTATCGACTGGCGCCAGTTTGAAGGGAACGCCCAGTTGCTGGCCACCGGTAAAGCCAGAATGACATCTTATGCTAGTCCAATTTTGGGGTGCCCCCTTCTTACAGCATCAGGCAAAAAGTGCAACTAACTCCATTCACTCAAATTGGCATTTGACTCACTGGTGTAGATGTGAGGCCCCTTGCCTTTGATACTAGATTCTCTAGATGAGTTGATTGTGACTCACCTGGGTTGTTTCATAGTGTTTCCTCCCGGGCCATTTGGCCATGGGTGAAAATTCCGTACATCCCAATCCCCACTCAAATAGGTTCAAAATTGGGTGGTGGATTCACCTACCCCAAAACGGGATCCCAAAGCGGTTTTGACAACCACAGCCATTAGGAAAGCCATGTTTGCGACCGTTTTTGGGCAAACTTGTGGACATGACCCCTGCCTTCCAGCACACTTGCCTGAGACTGTCGAGGCCTGAGGGTACAAGAATCCGAAAAGCGAAGAATGACTAGGTCCCCCAGTAGTGCCCTTTTCCCCTATTTGGGGGAGGGTTCCCCTACTAAAATAGACTACCGAAAAAGTTGGTACCCTTATTATTATTCTAACCTCTCTACTGGAGGACTGAAGGATGCTGTTGCAATGCTTTCTGAGCACAAACATCGGGCGGACCGAGCTTTCTGTTTAGGATCTGCATCCCATCGACTTCTTGGATGAGGTGGGCGAGGTCATCTGCGATCTCGTCGGTACCTGCGTTGACCTTTTTGCCCCTTGGCCAAGCTCGACGGTGTAAAGGGAACCCCTCAGAAAGGGGGGAGTTCCTGGTGGGTTTCCCGAAAAAGCAGCCTCAAGAAGGCAGGTGTCAAAAACAAGGCAACGGGCGCTGGGAAGCTTGTCCCTTGATACTTGCGTTCAAGGGAATTCCCTGTGAAGTGAAGTTGCTATTGGGATGGCCCACTATGGTTTCACATAGTTGCGAAGCGGCTTGAGGAATCGGTGGTCTTAAACCTCGCATAATTGCTGGACACTTGTTCATTTTGCGGAGTCTACCCAAGACCCCCCATCTACCCCCCCCCCCAACGATCCCGGGGGGTCCCAGCGAGGTTCCACCTCAGTCATCTTCCAGTGGGATTCCTTTATTTGCCAGGCACAAAGACTGTCAAAATGGTTATATGTGAAATTGCTCAAGAGGTCTTTTTTGGATTTTGGACTGACATGAACGGTGGGGTCAACCGATTTCACTATTGGGCAGACCTTGACCTGGGCATCCCCTTGATTCAAAATCTTGCACCAGTTGGGGCGGTTGACAGGACACACCACCAACCGCAAGACTTGTCCATGAAAACGGGCTGCTCGTCTTTTTTGGGTCGGTACCCCCTTGTTCGGTGGGTGGGTTTCAAAGGGAACTCAAAAGCTTCCAACATTTATTGCAGTGGGGTCCACCAAGAAAGATCAGCCACCCAAATGGCAAAACGGGGGGGGGTGGGGCATGGGGGGGTTGGGGGCCGTTGGTCCGGGTTTGGGTGGGGGCATGTCGGGGCTGGGCTCGAGGAGTCCATGGTGCTGATTCTGAGCACCTCCGCCATCATCGGGGCGAAGATCTCCTCAGTGCCCCACGTCCTGACGGGTTTGCCCTTTTGGATCGTTGCCTCTGGGAACATAGGCAGGGCGTCGCCCGGGTTCCGTGTCTGTGTTTTTTTTGTCCGAGGGGCGGGTAGGAAGGGAGTGGCGTGAGACGGGAGGGTTCGACGGAAGGGTTCGTTTTTGTTTTTTTTTGGCGGGGGGTGGGGTAGGAAGGGAGGTAGGAAGGGGGTGGCGTCAGACGGACGGGTTCGTTTCTGTTTTTTTTTGGCGGGGGGTGGGGTAGGAAGGGGGTGGCGTCAGACGGGCGGATTCGTTTCTGTTTTTTTTTTTTTTTTTGCGGGGGCTGGGGTTGGAAGGGGGTGAGACGGAAGGGTTCGTTTTTGTTTTTTTTGGCGTGGGGTGGGGTAGGACGGGGGTGGCGTGAGACGGAAGGGTTTGTTTCTGTTTTGTTTTGGCGGGGGGTGGGGTAGGAAGGGGGTGGCGTCAGACGGACGGGTTCGTTTCTGTTTTTTCTTGGCGGGGGGTGGGGTTGGAAGGGGGTGGCGTCAGACGGGAGGGTTCGTTTCTGTTTTGTTTTGGCGGGGGGTGGGGTAGGAAGGGGGTGGCGTCAGACGGACGGGTTCGTTTCTGTTTTTTCTTGGCGAGGGGTGGGGTTGGAAGGGGGTGGCGTGAGACGGGAGGTTCGTTTCTGTTTGCTTTGGCGCGGGGTGGGGTAGGAAGGCGGTGGCGTGAGACGGAAGGGTTCGTTTCTTTCTTTCTTTCTTTTTGCTGGGGGTGGGGTAGGAAGGGGGTGGCGTGAGACGGGAGGGTTCGTTTCTGTTTTTTTTTTGGCGGGGGGTGGAGTAGGAAGGGGGTGGCGTGAGACGGGAGGGTTTGTTTCTAATTTGTTTTGGCGGGGCTGGGGTAGGAAGGGGGTGGCGTGAGACGGAAGGGTTCGTTTCTGTTTGTTTTGGCGGGGGGTGGGGTAGGAAGGGCGTGAGACGGCAGGGTTCGTTTTTGCTTTTTGGCAGGGGGTGGGGTAGGAAGGGGGTGGCGTGAGTTGGGAGGGTTCGTTTCTGTTTTTTTGGCGGGGGGTGGGGGTGGCGTAAGACGGCATTTGTATCAACGATATGTCATATTTCCCCAGTCAAAGGTGAACTCATGAACCGCAGACTGGGTTGATGCCACCTGAACAGCTTGCGAAAAGGATGCCAATGGGAGATGATTTCCAGAGGCGCTCAATGTTTACCACTCAGATGGGCTCACCCTCCGAGTTTCCTCAATTTCGGTTCCTGGAACCTCGAAAAGTGCCAGTTTATATGAAAACCGAAAGTGATGAGCCCCTGACCCCTGCCCCGGTTTTTCCATGGAACAAACATGAACAGATAAATTGCAACTAGGTCCCCCAGTAGTGCCCTGTTACCCTTTGTTGGGGGAGGGTTCCCCTAGTAAAATATACGATTCAGGAAAAATGGTACCCTTATTCTAACCTCTCTACTGGAGGACCTAGGCAATCTGTGAAGGGGACATTTTGTGAACCCTGACCGGTTTCCCATGCAAGAACCCGGCCGGGTTTTCAGAGGATGTTCCCGGCCAGGCTGTGCGGTGGCAGCATGCAGGGTGCACTGCACTGAGAGCCGCTTGCCAGCCGATTTGTGAAGCAACCGAGTGGGGTTCATTGGGCTTCTGTAGGATGGCTGGCTGAAAACGTTTTTTTTTGGGGGCAGATGCTGAAAACGTGTTTTTTTGGCAGATGCTGAAAACAGGTTTTTCAGACAGATGCTGAACATGTGGTTTGTTTGTTGTTTCTTTTCTGTTTTTTTTGGGGGGGGAGATGCTGAACATGTTTTTTTGAAGCAGATGCTGAAAACTGATTTTCAGACAGACGCTGAAAACGTTTTTCTCAGGCAGATGGTGAAAACTGTTTTTTTCGGGCAGATGGCTGGCTGAAACCTGAAACCGGCAGCAAATAGCTGAGTCGTCAAGCTGTCGGAGTTCCCCAAAAAGCCGCAAGCGCCACTTCAGCAGAAGCGAAGGGACGAATTCGGATTGGACGCGGCTCTAAGGGGCCCACCTGGTCACACTAAAAAGGCCAGGTGGCTTCCCACGAGATGTGGGGGGATGTTGGGGGCAAGTTGGTGGTTCCGAGCAGTCACTGGGAGTCGCATGCTTGCATATCCCCCCCGAGTCCCCCTGCGTTACTCCGGGTATCTCAGTTGTTCAAAACCGACCTTTCGAGTGGCCTTTTTGTCGTCCCTGATTTGGTCTACTTTCAGTACAGGTCCCAAAAGGTGATCACCTTCTATTCCTTTTTGGGCAAGTGAGGTAGATGACCACGCCTTCCTTGAAAATGGGTTGGCAGCAGAACCCTTGATTCACCTTTGGCACTGCTGGCCCTCACTCCCCCCTGCTGTTGAAGGCAATATGGCTGGCTTTGGCCAGCGTTCCTGTTTTTGTCGGCCCCATGCCATGTCCAAGAGGGTTGACATTTGGCAAATAGATTGCGGTCTCCCAACAGAGCCGCTGTACCGGTCATCACGAGTTGCAATTTCCGGAGCTTCGAGGCTCAGCCAGAGTGCAAGTGCTCAGGATACAGCGCCAGAACTATTCGGTGGTCGATGCGTGCTAACTTGCTCCTTGGCCTTGGCTGTTGCATGAGCTCACCTGCCCTGTGTCAAGGTACCCCAGTAGTGCCCTTTTACCCTTTTTTGGGGGAGGGTTCCCCTAGTAAAACAGACTACAGACAAAAAAGGGCACCCTTATTCTAACCTCTCTACTGGAGGACCTAGGTGTGTAAAACGACGCTCACCATGATTTAGGGCCTTTACTTGGGGATCCCTTCTTTCCGGTTTCGGAGTTGTTTCAGGGTAGGTCTGAATGATGTCAAGCAACCGGGCGTTGAGTTAGGCGGTCATTTGTGAGAAATCGCGTGTGATCGTTTTTGGGGTGGCAGGGGCGGTGGGGGCTTCAGATTCCCAGGCAAAAGCGCACTCGATCACCCACCAAGAGGTGCTGGAATGTGCTGGCCAGGGTGCCCCGTGGTCGCTCAAGGTCAAGCCTTATGCCAGATGGTGGTTTCCCTTGTAGTGGCGTCCCGGTGTACTGGGGCTGAATGAGTAGGAAAATGGTTGGGTCCCTATTTCATGGTTGCTGTTGGGCAACATTTTACATTTTTGCTTATTGCGGTTTAGTGGTTGAAACCCCCGCTTAACTGCCAAAATTAAAATGTTTGCTCCCCTTCCAACGTCAACCCAGTGACCCTAGAGATGCCCTAGAGTTGCCCAGGTTGGCTGTGATCTTCTTCGTGCAGTTCGTGCAGCCTCTTGTCACGAGCGCGGGTCCGTCCAAAGTGGAGGTTGACCCTTTCCCGGTTGATTAGACGGGAAACCAAAGGAAGACAAGGATTCTTTTGGGGGGGTTGGAAACGAAAAGGAAAGCCGCGCTTCTTCTTTGTTGTGGTTGGTCTTTGTTGTGTGTGTTTTTTTGGGGGGAGGGGGGGTCCCTGTTTTGACACATACGGAGGTTTAACTACTAAATTCTATGGAGCTCACGGTTTTGGGTGGCAAACTAAGCTTGCCTTGAAGGTATTTTGGGAAAATCGGCCCCTCACTTCCCAGGTCGCATAAAATTAACTATGCAGACTCTCTTACCTCTTACATGCCCTTGGCTGCCGTGTGATTGACATGTCGTTTGCGCCAGGAGTTCGTTTGCATGGGTCGGCCAGTTTCTTTCCAGCCACCAAAGGAAGAGAATGGCAGAAGTTCCTTTGGGCCGAGAGGGGACCTCCCACGGAAACCTGGGACCGCAATACATTGGGGGGAGTTTCTGCACCCTGGCGGAACAACACCCTTGAATCGATGGATCCTGCTGGTGTCAGAGCCATTTGAAGAGTTTTCGTTTGACCGCTTTCTTTTGACTTTTTGCGGTTCGCCAAGGAAACCCACCCCCACAAGTGCCTCAAAGTAGCAAACCCCGACGCTTGTCAATGCTTCAACCGGGACACTGGTGCGTATTCACGCGCGGGCCAAGGGTGGGCGTGAGTTACCTGGAGTGGGTGCATGGCAGCATCACCTTCGCCATGTTTTGGCACTTCGCACCTCGGCCCGGAGCATGACGGAGCTACGCAAATTGTTAGGTTTCCCGAGGGGAAAAGTCAGAACGGGAGTGGTTTCCCGTATATTGCCTTTCAAAAAACACCACAAAGGGTATAGGCACATGATTAAGAGTCTCAAGGGGGGTCGACCAGGTCTGGCAAAAAACATATTTTGGAGGAGGCTCCCCTGAAGCTCCCTTACAATGCGGAGGAGGTTCAGAGTTGAGGTTTGAGCAGGCTGAGCCAGCGGGAAAAGGTTGCTGCTTCTAATTATGGCTGCGGGTGGGGGGAGGGCGTCTTTAATCAGAGCGTGTTCTGGGAGGTGCCAACAAATTATTCAGGGGTGCTTTGGCGAAACCTTGTGGGTGCCTTTAAAGTATCAGCGAAAACCCGGCGGTTTTTGCCAGAGGGGGGGTATTAATCATAGCAATCAGATGCCGATGGTAATTACCCTCAAAAACGAGACACCCATATTTATCCGCACCTCGGCCTGACGTTGCTTGCTGTTCGGGTGAGTGTACACATTCATTGAGACTTCTCTCGATTCGTGCAGCTTGCTCTGACGGAGCAACGGTCAAAGTGTTTGCATAACTACAAGCTCTCCGGTTCGAGTGCATATACCATTGCAACACTATGACCATTTTTAGTCATGCCCCCCCAGAGTTTTGACCGTGTCTTAATTATATTTTGTGAGGGTGCACCATTTGGAGTATTTGTGGCAACATATTGCAGCACCTGTGTCCCTTCCGCTCCAGGTGGTTATCTCCGTGATTGGCCAGCTCTTGCCAGAGCTGCCTGGCTCAAGCTGGCGCCTGGGGCTTGGGAACCGAAAACTCACCCAACATGCAGCTGAGAAAAAGACCAAACAACAAAAACCTGAGGCCGCGGGGCTCTCATGTTGACTTCGGATGAATCCGAGGAGCACACCTAGGGAGTTCGGATTAATTACGTGAATCCATTTGGAATCGAGGCCGGCCACGGAGAAATGAGCTTCCTTGGACAATTTACGACGGGCTTAGAGATTTGAAACCCGGTATCTGAGAAAGTTATAGCGACCCAGGGGGTTTGCGACCCTTTCATAGGGATCCCATTGTGCTGTTGAAGAATCATTGTACTTCCACAGCATATGGCGTTCTCAACGGCATATGATTTTTGCACCCTGTCAACAAAGAGAGCCTGAGCCTGAATTTTCAGCTACCTCGTGATTGACCTTGTCTCTTGGGTGTAGTGCCTCTTCGTTTTTTGGAGGTGGGCACTGACCTTTGGCCTAAGCCGCGTGTCTCGGCCATGGCTTTCAGCCGCTTGCTTGGGGCGGACACGCGGACATGTGCGTCGCCCATAGGTGTCCTTTTTAGGTTGGTTTGCTTAAACAAAAAATAGAAAGGCACTGGGTTAGATGGGTCTCATTCCATTTGCCAGGGCCGTCAATTTTTCCAAAAGGACACCTGTGGCGTGGCCTGCAGGTTCTGCGTCATGGCCGGGGAGTACTTCACCTCCCCGGACTATTGGCCCATCCGAAACCTGGCGGCCAACTCGAAGCACGGCGTGGTGCAGGCGCGGGCCAGGCATCCCACAGCTCAGCCAGGAGGCACGAGGCAACCGTCTCCAACTGCCACCGTTTTTGGTTTTAATGGTTCCTTTAATTACCACGCAAAAGCCACATACTCAAGCCCATTGTGGTGTGTGTTTGAAATTTCGAACGCCTCTAAAAAGCATGACTCATCTTGGGCCCCTTCAATGCAAAACAAATCAGGCATGCGCATTTCACGTTCCTGCCCGTTCTGCGTGGTCCCCATCCCACGGGGGTTCCTTACATCCGTTTAGTGGTGTAGGTGTGTCCTTTTGTTTAGGGTACCCATTTTGAGGGGGTGGGGGCCAAAAAAAGGATTTACCCACGTGTGTAAAATCACCGGAATCTAACCGCAATCCCAGACGATAGGCGAGACATCCTCTTGTGATGTCTGTTTGGTAGATCTATGTTGACCCCCAAACCTCACCAACCCAAACCTGGGAAGATGTTTTTTTTTCTCGGCGGATTTGACCCCAAGCTCCAAATCACCCCCTTGCCCGGGGGAAGCTCTACCACCCTCTAACCCATATACACCAACCTACCCTAACCTTTATACATTATAAACCGCTTGACTCGTTTCTTGGTGGCTCCCAGCCATCCGGTTCCTTAGCTTTTTCGCCTTTCAGTGTTTAGTGGTAGTTTCCATTTAACCCACGAAAAGTTAAACTTTTCGCGGAAAATCTGAAACCGGGCAGCCCAGGTTTAAGACCTAGACGTCACCCGGCCCGTCCGCCCGGAGGTCGTCTTGCAGGGCCTCGGCCAGGGATTCCTCTCCACCGCCAGCCCTGCGCTGCTCCTGGCAGCTCGGCCGCTGCTTGGGGCTCGCGGCGGAGCGAAAGCGCGCGGCCCTGTTCTGGTGCAGAAGCCATGAGAAATTTTGATGGGTTGTATGTTGGGTTGGTCGGTTTTGTGGAGTGCCAGTTTTAGTCAGCTTCAAGTCTTTTTTGGCGGTTGGGATTGGTGGTTTGGAGGTGTTCCCGGGTGGGTTCCCACTCGCCCTCTACAAGAACGACAAATTCAACTTCCCCAACCACCGGTAACCAATCCAAGGGACCAGGTAAGGGTTACCGGATTGTGGCCCTAAAAGGTGAACGTATGATTTCCGGGTCCGTTGGGCAAGCGTGTTATTTTTATGTTGTTTTTTTTGGGGGGGGATGGTCTGTACCATAAGGTCCCATTTTGGGTAGCTTCCCAGGGTGGTTTGGAGTCGAATCGGTGGTTTGCAGGGAGTTCTCAATTTGCCCTCCAAAAGTTCATATCCGCAAGCCACCAATTCCAAGTACCAAGGGTTTCCTGCGGTGTGATTCGGATTGATGTGGTTTGGAGAGGCGGGGGGTTGAACCCCAGGTCCTGGAAACGGTGACCCACATCCAAATCATTTGGGGGTAAGGTGGCTGGTGAAATGAGGCGTGGTATTATGTTGTGCATGTTGTTTAGCTGTTATGGCTGAGGCGACGGGGTCTTTGTTGCACGATATTCTACGACCACTTCTTTTCAGGGTTGAGCACCCTTGCCCAGACACGCTCAAAGAATCTTAAAGATCACAAAGTGACCAACTGGAGAGGTGCTTGGGGGATGGTAGGAGCAGTTTTAGGACCAAAGTCTGGCCATATGCCACTTGCGCCCCTCTCAGGACTCTAAGGCTACAAGTTCTGTGTGTGTGTTCTTTAAGTATGTGGCACAAGTACCCGTAACAACGGCCCAAGTGCCACCGCAAGGGTCGAGTCTTTTCGGGTCGCCCTTAGCACTGGTAGGATGAGCCGCCGACAGATGGACTCCAAAAGTTGAAGGCGTCCGAGTCGGAAGGCTAAGTCATGATCCAGAGCAAAGCCATATACCCTCCCACCAGCTAACATGGGTTTGTGCACAGACCCCTGTAGAAAGACTACGTTCCTCTCGGAAAAGGGCCTTTTTGCACTTCCATGTTAGATGGCGGGAGGGCACGATCTGTGCTTCTCCCTGCCATTCTGCTTTCGAGAACTGATGATTTCATCAACGGCCCTTGGGTTATGACTTCCAAGTCGAATTGTGCTCCTCAACTACTAGCCGCAGCTCCGGGTCGGCATAGGAATTAAGTTGGGATCTCCAGCTCAGGGGTTTAGCGATACTACACATATGCATCCATGGTCCTTTCAAGTTGATTTGGATCACCGGTGGCCAATGTTTTGAGTCGTTGCTTCGGACTGGTTGTCTGAAGGGATATAGTTGGAACAGTGCCATGGGCTCGGCGAATCATTGCCTATTTGGTGGCGCTCTCTGGGAAAAACGAGCTTACCATGATGTGTCACAAAAGCACGGGCCAAAATTCAACCGCTGGGGGACCGCTGGTTTAGTCCTTATTTCCATCTACCGGGGCTCCATTTTGGGCAC